CGGCCGAAACAGTTCTTAATGAGGCCAAAAGCTGATGAGACCTGGGAATGTCCCAGGAGCGCTGACAGAAGAAACTTCTCCGCACAAATCTGTAGCCGAGACTGTTCTATCGCCTATGCGCAGGGATCCCTGTGGTCGTCCGGGCTGGGTCAATAATCAAAGTCTGACCTGTGACGACAGGACCCACCCTAAAAAGACCTTCCTCAATGGACTGCGCGTCTCTTAGGTAATAATTGATAAAGAGGTTCTGCGTTCTCCAGAAGCCTGTCCTCAAAATGTGTTCGAGGGGGGCACCTGACGCTAGAGCTAATGAGTTAGCAATTGCACGAACCTCATGCGCTCGTATTTGGTATCTCTGTAAACCCTGTGCCGAGGGTGCCTGTTGGTAGTAAACCTCAAACACTGTCAAAGTGATCCACCTAGGAATGGAAGTCTTGGAGGCTGGCCTATCCTGCTTACTCTGGCTATAACACATAAACATGTGCTTGTTGCCTTGCCTCGACTCCCCAGTATGTCTCTCATAGCAACTCAAAGCTCGAAACGGGCATAGAAGCAACTCTTCCTGATCCTCTGGGCGAACAATATTGGCCAAGCAGGGGATGACGACTGTGGATCGAGTCTTGGGATTTGGTTCTTGGCAAGAAACCTGATTCGTGTCTTTAGCACAGCCTGATTGTCCATAAAGGCGACACAACCTCCCCAAAAGGACAAGGCCCCTAACTCGGAGCAACACCTACCAGAGGCGAGAGCTAGAAGGAAGATGGTTTTCCACGTCAAACATTTCAGTAGTGCTAATTCCAGCAGTTCAAAGGGTTGTTCACTTAGAGCTGACAACACAACCGACAAATCCCAAATAGTGGAAACCAGGCCTTGGTTGGTCAGTTGGGCGACACCAGCGTCAAGATGCAGGTGTGCCCTCGTCGAACACTTACCCATCCCTCTTGTCGCAGACAGAAATGTCAAACTCACCTCCCCTGCGACATGGGGAGGGAGGGCCACCCGAGAAAGAGGTCCCTTCTTCCTGAGGGGTGCACCGTCCCTTGTCCCTCCCCCGAGAGAATAGGGGCACTCACCTATGCTTCTGGCTAGTGGGTGCCAACTTCAGCCGTTATGTTTTCTCCGCTTGGGGTCCCGTTCGCAGCTAACTGGCTCGCGGTGGCTTCCCGAACTCCGAGACTGCACCCTCCATCTCCCCATCAAAGAGGGCGGAGAAGGTCCAGTCTGCAAAACTGAGGGGGTGGCGCACCCCGTGACTCAGTTCGCCGGCGAAAACACAAGCTGCCAAAACAGCATCCTGCTGCACAGAGGTAGCCCCTGCTAAAAGCCAGATGACACTGCAGGATATCACACATAGCCATGCGATGTTCCTCCAACAATTGTGTCTGCTGGTCTAGGAGGCTGGTGCGTTCTGCCTCTGAGACTTCAGAGTCCTGGAGAAGCACTGTGATGCGTTCAAGTGTGCTGGCCACAAAAATTTAATGGGTCGCAGCTCTGCTCTCAGGGCGTGGTGGACTGTTTCTGACTGAGATGCCAAGAAACTCCACAGAACGCAGCCACCTCCCTTTACCCACCCCGCCAAACAAAAGTTTGTGGTACCTGGGTCATGGAAAGAAACCAAGGGATCCCGTCGGGAGCATGAGGTTTGGCTTCAGACTCTGCTGGTTTCGGTACCGGACAACACACCAATCAGATATTGCTTGGTCCAGCGGAAAGAGCTAGTCATAAAGTTACCCCACCCTGGGGTCTTAGGGCAGGGGACCAACGCCCACCCATCAACACCGCCTCTGTGCCCTCTGCCACGTTCAGCAATCTGCTGGACCCAGGGAGCCGCGCAGTTGGTGTTGCTATCAAGAGTGAATGGTTCAGGATCAAGGCTGAGGGTATGAACATCGGGTCACTAGGACTAATGACCTCCCACATTTTCCCACGGCGTGCTTCTCGGAGTCTTTTCGGAGGTTATACCCAAAGAATCAGACATCACCGAACACTCCTTCACTTTACAGAGGTTCTGAGAATTATTCGGACAGTCAGTTAGCAATATATCTTGGAACTTTGCAAAACATCTGGGTGTTTGTCCAATCTAGACTTGATGGCGCCCACAATTGGGATCATTACATTATCTTGCTAGATGCGGGTAACTATACATACACAGGTTATATGTTGTATAGGCATTCAAAGTGTTAAGTGTTTAGTAATCCCAGGTATTAATGAACTCGTCGTTGGCGGGAAGGCTCAAAGTAAAGTTTTCTTAGCATTGGATGCGCTGCAGTTTCACTACAGTTTTGGTCCAAACTAAAAGTTGTTTTTACATTACTGGTGCATTATGTATCAAATTCAGATTTTATACCGCGGTGGGAGAGTACGTCAGGGATACACAGACGGAAAACTTGATTATAACGGTTTGATAGACTTTGTCAAATCAAAAGTGTCTTCCTTGAGCGAATCACTTTTTCAACTGCAGTTTGAAAATGACGACCATTTATGTCTAGTCCATTTTTGTACTGAACCACACTGTTTTGCTACGATGCACACTCAGTGCAGAGAAAACAGGGAGTGAACATAAGGCTGATTGAGTTACTGAGATTGCACCCAATAAGATACAGTATTTAAAAACAAATACTTACAACTCGATTTTCATCAAATACTTCAAATAAAACTCGATTGTCTCTTGGGTTTACCTAGAATAATAAACAGGAATTATAACATTCAAACAATGCAACTCAATAAGGACATCATGTATTGGGAAACAATGTTCTAACACCATCCAAACTAAGATGGAATTCAGATGTTATGTTATATGTTATGTTATGTTATGTTATGTTATGTTCTAACACCATCCAAACTAAGATGGAATTCAGATGTAATGTTATGTTATGTTATGTTATGTTATGTTATGTTATGTTATGTTATGTTATGTTATGTTATGTTATGTTACGTTACGTTACGTTATGTTATGTTATGTTATGTTCTAACACCATCCAAACTAAGATGGAATTCAGATGTGATGTTATGTTATGTTATGTTATGTTATGTTATGTTATGTTATGTTATGTTATGTTATGTTATGTTATGTTATGTTATGTTATGTTATGTTATGTTATGTTATGTTAGTTTTACAAATAAGGTCCTTTTATTCAGCCATCCCCTCCAGACTGTACCACGGCATGACAAGGAATATGTTTACATCAAATTCCCAAAACCATGGAATGAAAATTTGGGTGAGTTTTTTGCTATTTTCTGAATATTTCAAACTACAAGAATTAAATCCATTTCACGCTGAATCAAGCAACAAAATTTAGATCATCAATGACAGGTTGAAATCATATCTAAATATAGCTTGTATAATCATACCAAATCATGCCCTCATTTAATCTGTCAGTTTTACAGACTGTTCATATAACCACACTGGGTGCAAGAGAACTGACACTGGTTTTGCAACAGTTCACCCCCAATAATGGGTTCGTCTATTTCCTGCAATTTACATAACAGCCGTAATGCATGATAATATTGTTGTTTGGAATTATGCAAATAAAATGCAATTACCACGCTACGAATGTCAATTTTTAAAAAATATCACGTACAGCCTTAGCATTTATAGACATAAATTATTATGTTTATTTGCTTCAACCTTTTCAACATCAGACTTTCTCTCCCAAATTATTCTGCACTTTTTTGTTATATTTTTGAATTATTTCTGGAAATGAACCCTACTTTTGGAGCCAACTGGCAAAATTTGAGGCAATTTTCAGTTTTTACTCAAAATATTTCACTATTTTCGTCCCAATACTCTGAAGCAAAGTGCAGACTATAAACAGGACTATTTTGCGAATTTGTGATTAAAAGAGAGAACTGGTGGTGAAATGTTAAATATTTGGGTACATTCTGATATGTAAAAACGTGAAAAAATTATGTTTTAATTTTCAGGTGAAACGTTTTTTCAAAATCTAGACCTTAACTGGCCTATGTACTATGTTTGCTTTATTAGAAGAGCATCCTTAACCACCAGAAATTGTTGACAATCTTAGGGGGTCTAAAACCAAACAATACACAAATATGTATATCTTAGAACTAATTGTAATAAAAATTTCTAATGATTACTCGTGTAAGTGTTTTCCTTGAAAACCTAGTCAAAGTAGAGAATCAAGTAAAAAAAAGAAAAAAAAAATTTAAATAAGTCATATACATGTGAATAAAACCGATGCTGGAAATTCCCTTTGAGCAAAGATTATGTAAACAAAGTTTTGAGCATCATCAGCCAGTCATTACTACCAAGAACTTGAAGTCTCCAAAAAAGAATGAATAAATCCTTCTGAAAGCTTATAAAGGTGGTTATTATTTTGGAGCTATCAGTTACTCATTAATAAATCGAACCACATCTAATTATTACATTGTCATACAGAGTAAATCATGTATGACCTGAATCTGAATGTCTGCTGCGTAACCCATGCATGTATAAAATAACATCCATTTTATAAAGTCCGAGCTGGTGTCACCTCTGACCGGATCTATTTTTATTGGCATATTTATTAATTCACATTCATTTTATAAAGTCCGAGCTGGTGTCACCTCTGACCGGATCTATTTTTATTGGCATATTTATTAATTCACATTCATTTTATAAAGTCCGAGCTGGTGTCACCTCTGACCGGATCTATTTTTATTGGCATATTTATTAATTTACCAAAATGACCTCATGCTAGCCGATACATTACTGTAAACCACATTGGAATAGCTGCATATCATTTTAGTGAACGAGACTCAATGCATGAAATAACTGAATTTTAAGTTAGCTATTAAAAGAACAGACAATCTCATTGTGGGAATTTACTTTCACCTAAATTAGCTATATATTAAATAACCAAAATTACAGATTAGCTAATATAACTAAAACAAGTCATTGAAAATGACACAGTCCCCGTTAAATTTTGTTAAGTTCTCTTTGTGCTTGTCATTTTAAAGCAGAGGGGTTGTCGCGAGCCTGTCCTTGAAACTTGAGTTCCAAGTGGCGTATACAACAGATTGTTTATTTACATCAAAACACGTGTTCCGTGTAGTAGTAATATGGCCAAAAATAAAAACAGCCGTTATTCGTCCATCTTTGATCTGATTATGAAACACACTGATATGTATGATGTATGTGCCAATACGAATGAAAATGGTACATAAATTGTGCAAATATAGTAGTAAGGCCAAAAAGTCAGATGGCTGTCAATCGGCCATCCTTGACCAGATTTTGAAACAAATTGTCATGGACATGCATCCTAACATGTATAAAGTACATGTATGTGCCAAATTTGAATGAAAACTGACAGAGCACGCATAAAGAGATACCGCATAAAAAAACAAAAAACAAGATGCCTGCCAGTTGACCATCTTTGATCCAATTGCGAAATAAATCATCATGAACATGTATCCTAACTGACAAAGCATGTCCAAACTACAACATTT